AGCTCAGTAAATAAAACAAAATTCTAAACTGCAGTACTCAAGGAAAACTGTATAATATGCTGGATGTCACATTTCATATGAACATAATATAAAATGATTTTCTAAAAACATGCAATTAAACATATCATATCATAAAACTATATCTTTCATTTTCATTTTCATATTCATATCAATATACTTAGTTTTCTCATTTCGTATATATTACAATCGTCATAGGAGCTACCGTCTAGTACCATAAAGGTACTCCTTTACCATTTTCCTTTTTCCATATCCTTTACAATTTCAACGTGCATGAGTATAGCATCCCCAGCTAATACCATAAGGGGGTGAGCTCCATCTATTCAACATGCACATACAAACATTCAATATAACATTCATATCATTTCATATCGTTTCATTCCATATATCACATAAACTTTATCATATAAGGTCATAAAATGTAAAATATAATTTGCATGATCAATCATTTGATAAGATTAAAGAAGCATGATTGGTCTATCAAATCATATAACTTGTGAGAAATAAAAGACATTATTGTAATTAAAGAATCATGCATACTTACATATTCAAGGAATTCGATTTTCACACTAGTTCTCCTTCCTTTAAGGTCACCACAAATATCACCTATAAGAATCAATTTCTCATTTAAAAATCTACAAAATAATTTAAAACAAAATTCTCCTTCTCTTTTAAACTACTCTAGTTCTATCTTTCTTTCTCTCTCTCTCTCTCTCTCTCTCTCTCTCTCTCTCTCTCTCTCTCTCTCTCATATTCATAATTATAAACATATGAATTTAATTTTGCTTAATCATTTATCAAAATTATATTTTTATTATTACACTTGCCAAAATTCTATATCCTAACCAAAATAATTTAAATTAAATTTCTATTTTTAGTTTCAACTTAAAACCCTAAATTTGGAAAACACATTTTCATTAATATGTTTATTTTCGCATGCTAAAACTTCCCATTTATCAAAATAATAATTATGGAAAACTAATTTTTTGATTTATATTAATTAGAAATTAGAAAGAATAATATTTTGAGAAAAAACTCAAAATCTCACCATTAGAATATTCCTACAACCTTTATGAATAAACTTTGTTAAAAGATTTCCAAAAAAATCAACATTTTTGGTGAAAAAATTCATTCCATGCATAAAATTATCTCCTAATTATTCCCTAACAATCCCCCATTTAATTTCTTAAAGAGATTCAATGTTTTTCTTAAACCCAACAAATCTTTTCTTGAGAAAATCCAAAGTAAAACATTAGAAATTGTTCATAAGAACTCACCTTAGCCTTCCCTTAGTCTTCCCTACAAGTTCCTCCACGAACGGCCACCAGAATCCTCCTCCGGAGCCTCCTCCTGTCGCCTCCCGTGCGTCCACCCCTTCTTCCTTTCGGTCCGCTCGTCTAGGTTTCGGCCGAACAAAAGAAATGGGGGACTGAATGAATTCGATCCCCTTTAATTCCCTTAGATGGCCAAAGGACAAAAATGCTCTCACTTAAACATTCCAAGCTTTAATAATCTCTAAGGGTATTATGGGTATTAAGAGACTTCTATGAATTCTAATTTCTAAATTGAGCAAAATTAAATATAAGTTTTACATATCAAATTTTTTAGAATTTTGCATAGAATTTTATAAAATTATTTTCTTCGAAATCCGACAACTTTGAATTTTTCACTTAAAACTCGTCGTGACGCATCGAAAAGCGTGCGAGGTCTAAAACGGCATTTTTCGGGCTTTATAACCCAAGCAAGAAATCAAGAAGAGAATTAAGAAAAGGAAAGAGAAGGAAGAGAGTTCTCTTGCCACCTGACTCCTCCACGATTGACGCCAAATTTCTGCCCGGCCACCAAATGACGCTGGATTTTTGCCCGGCCACCAATTGATGCTGGATTTCTGCCCGGCCACCAACTAACGCTAGAATTCTGCCTGGCCACCGACTGACACTAGACTTACACTCGATCGTCGACTAACATCGGACTTCCACTTGGTCGATGACTAACGTCGGACTTCCACCCAACTTCCATCGAATAACGTTCCTTTTGACCTCTATCGTCAGATAATGATCTTTCAAACCGATATCGCCTGCCAAACAATTTCCTTCCGACCTCTATCACTAGACTATGATCTTTCCAACTTTCATTGCTCATCGACTACGGTCCTTTTGATACTCGTCACTACATAACCGTCCTTCCGACCTCCATCACCAACCGACTATGGTCCTTTCGACCGCCATCACCCGAATACAATCTTTCTAACCTCCGTTGCCCACCGACTATGGTCCCCTAGACCAAACTAACATATCAATACTAATTCTTCCAATTTATACCATGTAATGCAATCTATATGATCTATATTTGTTAAATCAATCCAAGACCTTACCCCCAATGAAGGGACTCATTTATAATCAACTAAAAATACTAATGAATTCATTCAAACTGGGTCAGGTCCTATGGTTTTTTCCTTATTCAGAGTTTTCCATGAAAAATTTTTAGTGTCCTTTATAAATGTTGCACAGTCTATTTTATCTGATTGTGTGCTGGAACTTCGTACGATGCTAAGACGTTAAACTATATATATCTCTATTGTCGTGAAAATTATAGGACATAATAATTCAGCACCGCCTGTGGGAACGTTGTTTCTAACCGGGGGCAACTATTGCTCCAATCTCAAAATATCATTCATGTCAATGTCCTGACATAAACCATTACTGCATCAATTTTATGGGAAAAAAAATTGAACTAGGGGATAACCTTGACCACAACTAGGGCTAAGAAAATTGGTACCAGTGAAAGCTTAAGATTTGAAATAGAATTTTATACATAACCATAAAGGATAAGATGAAAAAGAGTTAATGCAAGGGATGGTGAACTAATGAAAGTACAGTTTTAATTACAACTATATCCAATTATCAAAACTACATTATTCATTTCAACTTTTAAATTTTAATGCTTAAATTTATAACCTATAACTTCAAATTAGGCAAAAATAAGATTTAATGATTAAGTTTAACTATTTGTATTTTTCTAAACTAAAAGTATGCTTTGATTCATTTTTACTAATTATAGATGATGATTTATTATCATATATTTTAGTAATTTTATATGGTCACTTTTTATTTTGATTAATCACTTAATTAGAATTATAAACTTCTATTTGTTTGAGGATAAATAAGAGTCTAAACTAGGAAGAATTTGATAAGCTTAAATAATATTATATTGTGTTAATTTGTTAGTAAAAACATATTATTTTAGTGTTGTTTATGCAGGAAAATCCAAGAAATGGGCAAAATTTTTTAGTATATACAACCCCCAATGTTAAACACAATATTGCCGCCGCGCCATCATTGGCACCGCCGCCAGAGCACTCAAATATAGACATGGCGACGCCTAAGCTCTATTTGACAGTACCGCAGCATCAAAGGAGTCAAGGTAAAATGCGTAGATCCATCAGTCAATCAATCAGGTAGCACATGACTAAACAAATTAGCACATAAAAACAAGCATAAATAAACCGCCAATACTTATAACTATCTCACTCAACCATTGATCATTTCATATAGCTTTGATACTAAAAAGGAGTTGTCATAAGTCAATCTAATATGACCCACAAGAAAGATAGATCATATCGTTTTGAATGATGATAGGCCAAGCCCAAGATTAAAGTTTTGAAAAAAAAAAATTCATATTTCCTATTATTAAATAAACTATGGAGATTCTAATTAACTTATATTAAGTAGAATAACTCTTACATAAATTTCTATTCTTTTCATTCATCACTAAAATGTACATACAACAACTACATAGCAAAATAGAGCCAATAAATAAATATTCAAGACTAAAAATCTATACATACTCTAACATATTAGAACATGGAACTACAGCTACTCAATTTGCCTTCTTTCCTTTCTCTCACCTAAAATAGAATGCATAATATGTGTGATTTAAGACACATATCCTAATTTTTAATAATTAGTTCATTATGAATTTTTAACTTATCTAGATCCAGATAACTTTTAAAACTAGCCAAACTGCAAAAAAAAAAAAAGAACCAAAGTCATAAAAAACCCAACTTTCTCTATCTCAAGGGTTGAAAGCTCAAGTATGCCTACTTTATAAAGAATGGCTTATGTTAATGGCCGATAAATCTTTTACTAGCCAAAGTATAATATAAATTTGCCATATGCATCGAGTGTTCACTGAATGCTAAATTTTCAGGTATTAGCAATCTCCTTTCTATACCACAAAAGTCCCTACTGTAAAAACACTCGACTTATCAGCCCATTAGTCCTAACACCATGAAACGATCAAGCAAGCAAGCTTCTTTATATATTCTTAAAACCTGAGCACAACGGGACGGTGTAGCTACCAAAACAAAGGTGAAAAAAAGAGCGGAAGCATCTCCAAACAAGTAAGACTATTTGTCCTAAATCTTTCAAAACCTCCATGAGCATCCCCTATAATAATATATTAAGGAACTTCTAATTATCGAACCCTAGCCATTTGTTAAAAGTAGCAAGCATGAGAGTAAATGTCAAAAGCCATAAGCTCCAAGCCCCTTTCTATTTAAAGGGAAAGAAAGAAAAATGACGGTAAATAAAAATTCCTCTAGCTCTCTCTAAACTATTTGTTGATGTCAAAATAATTCATAATTCAAGCATTAAAATCAAATTCAACACTGCTCAATCATATGGATACAATGAATTCAAAGATAGCAAATATTGTAACTTAGGAATTAGGCACATTTAAGCACCAAAAGTTTAATTAATTTAAAGAATAAATATTTTAAAATAAAAGCAACGCGGCTAAAAATGAATAGAATATAGCAAGCTCACAATAAGGCTTCGTTTGGGACGGCTTTTTTATTGTTTTATAAAATGGAGTTTTAGTACAAAAATAAAATTTTTTGTACTAAAACTCCGTTTTAGAAAGCAGTAAAAAAGCCACCTCAAACGAAACCTAAGTCCATCTCATTTTTAGCTTTCCAGGTATATACTACGCGGGTCAAATTCATAAATTTTCAGTAGACATCCTCAAATTAAACGTGCATTGTAGTATGCTCATCCTTTACCGCCTCTCAGGAGAAAATAACGGACTCAAAAAAATACATTTATCGTTATCTATGAATCAAGAAAAAAGTGCACATTCAACCTCTCTCCTAAGAGATATAGTGGAGGTCTACATTTACTTTCTTCTTGAAAGAAGTTTATCAAATCCAAATACTATTGAATGCTTCTTCAAGTGCTCTTTTTCTGCTCAAGTCCGCAGTCCATCCACCAGCTTTTGCAGCTCTCTCTGCCCTCAACTTCATCCCTTCCTCATCCTCAACTGCATAGCCATGAGGGTGAATACTTAGACCCCCAATCGGTAAAGGCTGTGGTACCATGCCTGTAGGACGAGGTTGCAAGAGCCCGGAACCAGGTAGAGTGGTGGGGGCATAGTGCCCTTGCAAGCCAGTACCTGTGGTTTGTGAGCCCAATCCAGCACCCTGAGATGTATTTTGAAGATCAAAACTTCACAATTTAGTTGCAACAAACTAATCAAATCAATCTAAGATACGTCTCAGTTTATGCTTTGGCATGCTTTAGTTAAAAATATAAGATAGATAAATGAGGCCGAAAGATAGATGAGGAAATGACTAGTCTTAGGCATCCAACTACAGAACTACCAAGACCCAAATAATTAATTTTTTTATTATTATTAAAGAGGTTTATTTTCAGGTATTTTCCTATTTCAATTGGATTACATCAAGGATCAACCTTAAGCCGATATATTTTTGTTTTAGTCATAGATGTTCTCACTAGACATTTGCAAGAGGTTGTACCCTAGTGTATGCTTTCTGCTGATGATATTCATCTTGTTGATAAGACTAGAGAGGGAGTTGAAGGTAAACTTAAATTATGGAGGTCAACATTAGAGTCTAAAGGCTTTCATTTGAGTACATCTAAAAGTAAATATATGGAGTGTTATTTTAGTAATAATAGATCTAGTATGGGGTTTGTAACTTTGGGCAATCAAGTCATTAATAAGATTATATGTTTTAGATATATTGGGTCTATTGTTCAGATTGATTGTGAAATAGATGAGGATAATATTTGTAGAATTCAAGTTGGATCATTGAAGTGGAGGAAGGCATCGGGTTTGTTGTGTGAAAGATAAGTACCTCTCAAACTTAAGGAAAAATTTTATAAGATGGTAGTGAGACCTGCAATGCTTTATGATGCAAATTATTGGCCGTTAAAAGAGAAGCATAATATTAAGTTAAGTGTTGCAGTGATGGGGATGCTCAAGTGAATGCGTGGCGTTACTCTTAGAGATAGGATATGAAATAAGCATATGCGTGAAAAGGTTGGAGCAGCTCCAGTGGAAGACAAAATTAGAGACGGTCTCCTTAAATGGTTTGGTCACATAAAATGGTGGCCTTCCAATGAACCGATTAGGAAAGTAGATGTATTAGATTTAAATTATGTTAAGAAAGGTAGAGGTAGACCTAAAAAGACTTGATTATAAAATATTAGAAATGACCTTTCTTTATTAGATTTAGATAAGAAAGTTGACTCTTAATAGGACACAATGAAAAAAAAAAAGGGTTCATGTAGCCGACCCCATGTAGTGGGATAAAGGCTTGTCGTTGTTGTTGTATTAAAGAGGTTAATTTTTAATTCTAGACAAGTCTTCTAAAATCACATAATGTCAACGAAAGTAATTAAAAAAAAAAAAAAGGATAAAGTATGCCAACTAGTGGATTTCAAGTTAAAGAATTTATCATCTATAAGTGGAAAACGGAAAGCAGAACCTTAACAGGAGTTATCCTTATATACTTTAGAAGATTCCTAGATCATTCACAAGTCTGCCAACAGTACCACCATGATTTCTACAAAGCCTAGTGACAGAGGTCGTCCATGCCTTGGGGTACAAGATTCGAACCTTACATCAAAAGTGGCATACAAAGTGAAGTGGAAAAATACAACCCTATCCATAAGCCCTAATCAAACTGGCAATAGAGTATTTCAATGGAAATTGTATGAATATATTGCATATATTTAGCAATTCTCTCTCAGCAAAAGTAGAGAACAAGCACGACAGAAAAGTGTAAAAGTAAATGAATAAGAGTTTAGAAGGAACAAACTCATTATGGGTATGATTTTATCAATTATGTTTCACAATCATTTCATTCACTCAGAATTAGCTAATCTCCAATTGCGTAAATATCAGGTTATTACAATTCCCTTCACCAAATCTATGGATTCACTTGAAAAGTTTACAAGGAAGTGTCGTGAGACCTAATTTTTCCTTGGATAGGTATGTTGGGTAATACTAAGCTCATAACCCAAGTAGTGGCAAGCAGGTGACAACTTCACCTTGATAACAGAAGAGAGAGAACCTCTGGTTCGAATTCTAGAGAGAGAAAGTTCTTCGTTGTTTTGAATTTGATTTTCGCGAGTTTTCCGCGGTTGATCGTCGGCGGTGTCTAATCGGCGGGTATGACTGCTCCACGACCATCTGGCCCTCTACGGGCCAATGGTAGAGGATCGTATAGTATTGTGATTAAAGGAGTTAAACCTGTGAGCCGTCAGGATCATGTTGAAGGCAAGGGGAAGAATGTTATAGTTGATGATTTGGTGGTTCAGAAGATTGGAGATGTCTAGCGTAATCCAGGTTTGGGTAATCTTGATTATTCGACTTCGGATAATGTTAGTCTGAGGGTGAAGAATTTTTCTGGTGTTCTTGATACGATCGGAGGACGTATTATTGATAATGATTTGAATTTGGCTGAGGGTCAGAAGAATTTTGAATTGGTGGATCATTCAATGATCCAGGTGAATGATTCGATTGATTCTGTAAGCCTGACGAACAAGAAGAGTGATAGTTCTGAACAGAAGGGTGTTGGGGAAGTTGTTGATGCTTGGTTGAAAATGAAGCCTATCAAAATTTCGATCAATAGAGACCAGGTTGATTTTTCTGAAGATGGTGTTGCGGTCAGGTTGAATGCGGAGGAGGCAGAGAACTCAAGAATTTTGAAGAATTCTATTGTGATTAAAGTTTTGGGAAATAACGTGTCGTTCTCGGTTTGCAGTTTAGAATTGAGAAGGCAGTGGAGCAAATACGGAGGATTTCATTTGACGTCGATCGGAATGAACTGGATTTTGTGTTCATTCATGAGGAGTGAGGTGGTAGATGAAATACTGAATGGAGGTCCGTGGTATGTGAATGGGTTCATTGTTGGAATGGATAAGTGGACTCCTATGTTTGATCCAAATTCCTTTAAGGGAATCTCTGCTCCCATTTGGATTAGACTATCGTGCTTACCTCTGTACTGCTGGGATGAAGATAGTATAGCAAGAACAGCTTCATGTCTTGGTTCGCCAATGTACCTAGATGGCAATACCTTCCGTTGGAGCAAACGTGAATTCGCCCGTGTTTGTGTCAGGATTGACTTGGAGAAGAAGCTGCCGAATGGAGTTTGGGTTGAAGGTTTAGCTGGGAGGTTTTTCCAAAGGGTGGAGTATGAGAAAATTGATCTTCTTTGCTATCAGTGTGGTAAAGTTGGTCATGATTCTAAGATATGTCCAGATAATGTAACTATTGGTATTCAGGATCAAACATGGAAAAAGATGGACACAGTAACAGGGGGAAGGGATGAAGTCTGCCGTTGAGAGTAATCCTTCTGTAATCAATGATGAATATGGTCCTTGGATCCATGTCCAGTTCAAAAATAGAAGATTCAGAAGGGATATTATGGCTGGAAGAGGTGTGAAGGTTAAGGGAAATAATTCTGAGAATAGAGACATCAACAGCCGTCAGGTGGAGACAGTTAAGACAAGAACTGAGGATACTAAAGAAGTTAAAGAAGCAGATGTGGTTCCAGGAAAACGCTCTGTTAATGTGGAGAAAACTGGTGCGGAGATGTGTGAAACTCTTTCAACCAATCGGTTTGCTATACTAGTTGATAAAGATGTTGAGGAAGATATAGAGCAGCATGATGAAACTGATAAAGCCTTGGATAGAAGTTTGGATATACCTGAATTTGATGGTAACCATACTGACTTGGGTTCTCAAAGTGGTATGGCCAAGGTAAAACTAGCTAAAGAACTGAGATCATTGGGACCGATTCAGCCTGATCATAAAAAGAAGAAAAAGGTTGGAAGATTGAACCCCAACAGTGGGGAGAGATCTTCATTACCTGTTTAAATGTCTTCTATTTTATTTTGGAATTGCAGGGGAGCCAGGAAGAAGGAGGCTTCCTTGTATTTGAAAGAAATTGTTAGGGATCAGGATGTGTTCTTTGTTGGGCTTATGGAGACAAAGTTGTCTAGCATTAATAGAAAGGAGGTTGATTGTCTTATAGGGAGTGAGTGGGAGTTTTTTCACTACCCTGCTGTTGGTACATCTGGTGGTATTCTGGTGCTTTGGAATAGCAAGATGGTGACATTTGATGTTATGGAAGCCACTTCATAGGTGGTCATTGGCAATCTTTTAGTTCCCACCTTGGGAACGTGGAGAATTGCTACTGTTTATGATAGTAGGTGCTGCAAGGAGAGGAGTGATCTTTGGAATCATTTAGAGAAGAGCTTGGAGAATGATATTCCTTCTATTATAGGAGGAGACTTCAATTGTATTACTAATAAGGAGGAGAAGAGAGGTGGAAAGAGGTTCTTGTTCTCTAAAGGACCTAGGGAGATGAAAGGCTTCATGATGAAAGCTGATTTTCATGATGTTGGCTATGTGGGGCCACGGTTTACTTGGTGTAACAACAAGGAGGGTGCTTCTCGGATATGGGAGAGGCTGGACAGGTGTATGGTCAATTCTGTTGCTATTCAGAAAATTCCTTTAGTGGTATACATTATATCCATAGATATATAGTATCAAGCGTATAGTAGCAGCAATGGGTTTAGGTATTGGTAGAAATTGGATTTGGGAATTGAAGAGTTGGGTTTTTGGATTTTGGATTGAAAGATTTAATATTTAAAAATGGAAATTTGCACCATCTTGTACTTAAAGCGGATGGTGGGGGAATGGATGATGGACCCGATCAAGATCCCATGGTTCCGTCGTCCCGGGCCATCGTGGTCCCTGGTCTACTTAGTCAGAGGAGGTAGTCGACCCAACCTGACAGAAGGATCCTTGTCGGCAGCCATGGGTTGCTTCGTTCAAGGGAACCTTGTAGACCGGGGTTGGTGTTTGTCTAAGGGGACAAATTTGAATCCATCTTAGCTTACAGAGGGCTTTGTGCCCTATCGATCATATCCTATTGATTCATATCTCAAGGATTTGACGCCATTAAGGAGCGTATTGGCTCTGGCCATAACCGCTATCTGTGGTGCCATTTGGCGGCAAAACCACTCGGTTCAGAGGGCCTCGGGTCATAACCGTTTACCTGCAGTGCCATTTGGCGGCGAAACTGCCGGTTAGAGGACACGTACCACGTCCTTACTAGCAAGAGATTGTTTGAGAATGGATCCTAGTGATATTTTCGACTAGGCATTT